TAATAATAATAATAATAATAATAATAATAATAATAATAATAATAATAATAATAATAATAATAATAAAAATAATAATATAGTAATAATAATAATACAGTAATAATACGTAATATATTATTATTAATATATAATAATATTAATATACGTATTAATAATAATCTATTGTTATTAATATATTAATAATATTAATATTAATATAATAATAATAATATTATTATTATTAATGTTAATAATGTTAAGAATGTTAATAATGCTAAGAATGTTAAGAATGTTAAGAATGATATATGTACGTATTACGTACGTATACGTGGTTATAAGACCGCATATATTAACATATATATTAACAATGTTATTCGAAATTTCCGTTATACGTCGAATCAATGATTTTTCCGTCATCCTTTTTGACTTACTCGTATGCATAAATTAATGATATCTTGATGAGCTTACTTTCCAAGAATTAAGAACAGATCAAATATACAGGATATTTATCTGTTAATACGTACGAATAAATAAAGAGACCAAAGGTGATACATTAATGATTCATGGACTCATGTGATGATGATGATTACCATTTAGGTTATTCATTAAACATTTAAAAAAAAAATCGTGGAAAAACCTTTTTCTTAATGATAAATCTGACTAATCTGATTAAGATAATCTACTACATACAATAATTCTCAATAATTCTCAACAGTTCTCGTGAGAGTCACATAATAATTCTCGTGAGAGTTGTATAAGATATACAAGATATACAAGATGAGCAAACTACATTTTTATAAATACGCAACGAGATCGAACGAGATCAAAAAAAAAAAATTCTCGAAACATACATTTATTCATTGCGGTCATGAGATACTTTATTCACAGCAGTCATGAAATATTTTATTTACTGCGGTTAAGGGATACTTTTTTGATAATATAAGAGAATGGATAACGATAATCCTCAATGATATCATTTACCTACAATAATGACAATAATGACAATAATGATAAGGATTGACTTTTAACGATACTAAAATAATTTTAATAAAATAAACATATTAGGTAATCCTGTCATGACCATACGCTGCATTTAAATGTATACGAATAAGTTTAGATAGTACGGTTTATACGTACGTCAAGTTTAAGTATCATTATTATATAATAAAAGAAAATACTAGAATTATTATTATATAATAAAAGAATTGGAAATTTCTTGTGCCATAACGATAATTAAAAAAAAAGTGAAATTATACGTATGCGCCAATAAATACATGCCATAATTAATACCATAATTGAAATGTTTCTTGCGCCATAAATTAAAAAATAAAATCATATACGCCTGCCATTAATTAAAAAATAAATACGCCAAATAAATATTTTACAGTAATTTTATTAATATTAATGATTTTTCTTTTTCTTTGAAAAAAAAATTTTTTTTGAATTCTTTATTCTCATGGTGGCATATTCAGCCACGCAATTTGAAATAAACCACAAAAACGGATAAATTGGCCTTGTTTAAACAACTTGCTTTGTTAAGTTTATGATTGTTTACAAAATAAATATCCCAATTCAGATTAGATAAACCCCACGATTAATTGTGACTAATTGTACACAATAAATAAAGTACTAAACCAAATGTGGTTACTAAACCAAATGTGGTGTGAATTTTTAATTCATGCTCATTCATCGGAGTCATGAGATATAAACTAAATTAATAATTTTTTTAACCTTATTGATTACAAAAGATATCGATTTAGTATTTTGTATACATAAAATTTCTAAATTTGATTGTTGTGATGTCTTGTGAGTGAATGTGTTTTTAATCCATCCAATTATCATAATTATTTATATTTATTTTATGCGGAGAAGGGCGTCATCTCATTACCATTTTTAACTTTAAGGTTCGAAATCAACTCAAATGATTCTACTGATTTACATGTATATTTTTTTGTAATAATTAGAGAAGTAATAATTATAACTTCACTTTCGTAATCAAAATTACTACATACGTATACGTATATTATTATTATTGCAAATGCAAATGGCGAAGTTTATTTAAAAATTTCCTTTTTTAACAAAAAATTTATACAAAGAAAAAAAAGTTACATGAAAAAATTATTAACGGTAATTTTTTTTCTATACAGAATGTTTTGATTATTGTAAACGTTATTGTAAAACGGTGGATGTCTTTTTTTTTTTAAATTTATGAAACCAAAAAAAAAAAAAAAAAAATTATGAAATTAATTTTCATGTTTTGACAAACGATGCTGTGAAAGGCATTCAGAGGAACAACATGCACATAAACATTTTGGGCACACAATCAGTGACCATAACTCATTCTTATTTTCTGGTTCATGTCCACAATTGACACAAATTGGTTTAACCCGGGGTACTTTGGGTTCCAAGCCTTTAATCTTTGTTTGTGATTTTTTCACAAGCTTGTCTGCTGTGGCAAAACCGCTACCCCCACAATTTTTACACTTTTTGAAATGGTCAAGTGCTTTTTGATAATCTTTATCGAATTCATATGTGAGACCGAGAACATATGTAATATGAATTCTAACTGCACGTCCTTTTTGAATATCTTCATGAGTTAAGAATTTGGTACTCATTGGATCTTGAAGAATTTGATAGATATGTTCCATTGCTTTTACGCCAGAATCCCAAATCTCTTTATCACGAGTACGATTCATAGAAAACCTTTTTTTTTTGAGAGAGAAGAAAAAATTAAAGTTATTACCTGTTTTGTTTTTGTTTTTTTTTTTACATAATTTTTTACATAATCAACATAATTTGATAATTACCTGTAGATATCGGATAACCCAGCAATTATGCTCAATAAAAGTTCCATCTCCCATTGGTTTGAAGGCATGATGTATAAAAATTTTAAAGCGTTAAAGTAGTATGCACAGGCGATGGCGTAGTCTTGCGTAACGATCGACTTTAAACCTGTGTGATGAACTAAAGCAAGCTTGGCTGCTGCTTTGGCCGATCCCAGTTGAACTGTTTGTTCAAGTAATTCAACATATTCTTTATATTTTTGTGCCTCCAAACGTTCTTCGGCCTTTGCTAACATTTTCGAAACCTTCTCCGTTGAATTTGTATCATCCTCCTCAAAGCTGGGTGGGAGTAAAGGTTTTGCGGCCGGTGGTTTGGGTTTTGATATTTCAATACTATTGTTTCGGAGTCTTAGTCGTTTAAATAAAAAAGGATTAAAACAGGAAGACATGATGATAATAAAAATAAAGATTAGAATAAAATTGGGTAAAATAAAAATTTAAGAATGTTTTTTTTTTTAAAAAAAAAAAATATATATATATTGATTTTAAAAATTAAAAAAAAGAAAAAACGATTGTTAAAACGTTTATTTTCTAAAATCTCGAAAAAACTGGCGTTCTTATATAGTTAAAAGGAAGACCTCGTGTAACAGATTCGAAGGACGTACAAAATATCGTAAATAAGAATCTTTATTTTATATTAGAACACAAAAAAGAAATTAAAGGCGTAAAGGCGGGGTAACTCCGTATGTATTCATTTACTTTATCTTTTAGTATCTTTTACTTATACCTTATAAAAAATTTCACATGTAAAGTCTTGATCGGTTAACTTTGAAATGTATGCTAAACTATTCATATTTCGATAAAGAAATCATTGACAAGACAATTATAATTTGTACTAAAAAAAAATCCATATTGGTTGATTTCTAAATAGGTGAGGATCTTTCAGCCTTCTCTTCATTATATCTTTATTATATCTTTATTAAAAATGTATCTCTCTTTTTTATATATCGATATGCAATCTTCCTGCATCTTCCTGTCTGTCAACCAGAAAAAGTAAATTTGAGAATTTGAGGCGATTGGTGATTTTGATATGTATAATTGTTACATTATTGTTAGTTGGATTTCTTGCATAATAAAATAACCGTCTGTGCATTTTCGTTACTTTTTTTAGGAGGTCAAGTGATGTCACGCTATGTCTATTGCTAATCTTAGATAGTTTATAATTTTAATAGCATCCGATCTTTATCCGAAATACCACATCAAAATAAGTTGTTCGTTAATGGATTGGTCTATTTTTGATTTTTGTTAAATAAGATTAACTCTGTGAAAGGTCACGAGGGATTTTTTTACACTAAACAAAAAAAAACTTTTACCGTTACTCGTTACTATTAATTAATTTACGTAATAATTTATTTCGTTCTATACTTTTTGTTTTTTAGCTCCTACGGTAATTAACGATTCATGTGTCTTGCTGATATAATTGTTTTTCCCGTTTGTGTTACCGCCGTCGCTAAATTATTAATTCGTTATCTTTATCGGTTATACGATTAGTTATGATTAATTATGATTCGTTACAATTCGAATATGATAACATTATCTTTAAATCTTATTGATCTAAATGTTCTTTTTCCCTTCAAAATTTTGTAATATTAATTTTTTTCATTGATCCATTCTTTTTGAATTAAGATTCATCGAACTGAATTTATGTGACTTATGTGACTTATATTTAATAAATTATTTAAATATTCATATAAAAATTTATTTAAAAAATTTTTTTTTTAAGTTTGCTTTGGATTCATTCTCCGCCCAAGTATCACATTTACTCCTGAACACAACATCCACAACATTTACAACATCCACAACATTCACAAGATTCAACAAGATTGTGTTTGTATATCACGCGGAACATACATATTAAATGAATTTTTATATTCGGTAAATCTTTTTTTGATTTTCTATTGAGTGAATCAAATGTCATAAATGAACTAATGGCGTCAAATTTTGCCTTCTTTTTCACAATTTTATTCTATTCTAAGAAGACCAGTTATTAAAAAATATTAGCCATAAAACAATTTGAATATGTATTATGGTTAGTAATGCATCGTTATTTGTAATTCTCTCCCAAAACAAATTATATTTCCTTGCATTTAATAGCATAGCTCATGATAAGGAGTTTCCATTTAACAAATATTCTTACCAATACGTATACAAAATATTCATATTAAATTAGTTATATCACAAGTACATATTGTATGCGTATGTACGTACGTACGTACGTACTTACAGTACAGATAGTTTCAAAATCACATTAGGTTATTGTTTGTATTATTTTAAATAAGTCAAATAAGTGCTAAACAGTTTGATTATATTGATTATATTGATTATATACTGTATAATTACACGATCTTTTTATTAACAGTTATATTACCTCGTTACTTTAAACCCTGATCGATATACATCAATATATATTTTATACATTCAATTTATATATTTATATTTAAATAATAAATTAAAATCCCAATATATTGTATTTATATACGTATAATATAAACTTAATCGGTACGTCTTACTGACATGTATCATAGGTGATTGACATTATAAATTGCTATATTTTAAAAACTATCTAATTAACAAAAGCCAAATGTTCTAAATAAAAATGTTTAGAACTTTCAAAACTTTTATATTAACTAAAAATCAAACCTTTATATATTTGATTTTTATTTTAAACTATAGTTGTATCCTAACCTTATCAATTATATTAACCGTATCTTAATCTTATCCTAACCTTAAATTTTAACAAAAAAAAACATATTAACATTATAAATATTATAAACTTTATAAATATATTTTATAATTTATAAAATTAATTACAAATATTGTATAATAAAAAAATTACAATAACTTATATACAAAAAAAATAATTTTTTAATAAATTTTTTGCTTATTTATAAAAAATAAATTTATATATAATTATAGTTATATATAATTTACTTAATTCTAATATAAAAAAATATACTAATATTTGTTTTAACTATATAAAACTAAAAACTATATATATATTTTTTAATAATATATTTTATATAAACTAGTTTGTTTAGATATTTATATTAATAAAAAAATTATATTAATTTATAACTTTATAAAAATTACTAATTTAATAACTTTAAACCTATTTTATAATAATTATAAAGAAACTATATAATTATTATTTTATAATAATTATAATTTTAAAATTATTTTAAAATAATAACATTTTTATTATAATTTATTATTATTAAAAAGTTTTTAAATAAAATAAATATTAATTATTAACTAAAAAAATAATAATTAAAAAATTTAATAATAATTAATAATAATCAATAATAATTAATAATAATCAATAATAATCAATAATAATTAATAATCATAGATACAACACGTGATATAGAAGTATATAGAAACGGCTGTGCAACATGAACAAAAATTTGCCAGAAGAATACAGA